ACACACACACACACATATTAATCATCATCTTCATCATCCACACAGCAAATGCCCATGCGGCATGCCTGGCACAGGTTCTTCTCGTGGGGTTTGGTCTTCGCTTCAGACTCTGATGATGATCTCCCACTATCTTCATCATCATCCTCCTCATGGTAGCAGTTTTTCCGAATTTTGTAAAACTGCCTGAGGAGGGCTTGTTCCACCTCTTTTTCCGCGAAACCGGGGAGATTGAATTTGTTGCCTCTGCAGCGAAGACAGGCCTGACCAAAAGGACGCATGATCACCGTCCCCTGGCCCCTCAGCAGCCGGTACCGGAACACCAACACTACCCGCGCTGAAGCCCAGGTTCTTGTGCAGGATGCACACTCAAAACTGTGGAGAAACGATTAGACTGTGTTAGGTCCAAATATATTTTACGTACTTGCATCTATAACTTGCTCTTTCCACTTGAATATCTACGACTCTGGTTGAAATAATACTGTGAGCGCCACATAAAGCGAATAAACACTCATGTATTCATATGACCTGCATATTTGAAAGTTTATAAATGCAGGACATGCGGCACATACTTTCCACGGGCGCAATATGTGGAGACCTTCCAGCCTCTCCTCCTCTCCTCCTCGGTGACTCTGTCTGTCTGATTGTAGTTGAAATTGAGAGTCCACCGGTCTCCATAGTCCAGCTCATTGTCCTCATTCAGCAGTTCGTTAAATGTGTCCAACCATAAAGAAGCGGTCCATTCTGGACAAGAGAAGACGATAAGTTAAGCTGATGCTGTCACAAAGCAAAGCGGTCTGTTTTACAGTACACCAAAGATCCAAGCAACCAGCACAGGTGCAAATTCTAAACTAAACCATGTTACCTGTGTCCATGTTGATCGTTTGTCTGTTAACTGAAGAGCTTCCAGCTGATGCGATGAGTCGCTGATGTTGTTCGAGTGGTGAATGTGGCTCTGCAGCTGGAGGGTCTCTGTTTATATCCTGAGAGCAGCTGTGCGTTTGGAAAACGAAACTTAACATCGCTTTCATTTTCCATGCAGCCATGTCCGACCTAAACAAGCCGGTTGCAACACAGTGTGCTCTTATTTAACTGGCTACAAGGCACGTTTAATTATTTTGTAGATTTTTGGCGGCTGTGGGTGAAAACTGAATTGGCTAAAAGGGTATCAGTGTATGATCGCCGCCTAACATCACGGGCAAAAGTCAGTCGGTCACCTTTGTGCTTTAGTCAAGAACAGTCAAGAACCCCTTTTGCTTTTCATGTCTAATAATGTGTACTAATCACTTATAAATCATGTGTAGTTTCAACGTTAACCACATTTGAACTTCATCTAAAATGTAGATAAGTGCGATAAACTGAGATTATTCATGTAAAAGTGCAGTAATTTCTGTCTCACAAAACAAATCCGGAAAGTAATAAAAGCCATAAAAGAAGACTTGATCAGACTTAAGACTTTATTAGCAGCCACAAAATACAAAGAAAACCACAAAAGTAATAGAATCACATAAAATACAAATCTCAACACGCACACACACACACACACACACACACACA